TTCACACAAGCATGAATCTGCTCTTGAATACAACCCACACTAGACCTTCTGATAACCATTCACACAAGCATGAATCTGCTCTTGAATACAATCCACACTAGACCTTCTGATAACCATTCACACAAGCATATGGATTGCTTTTTCCTTAGGTGACATAGATGTGTTGACTTGACCCAGAGAAAAAACTGAGTCTCATCAGTCCATAGGATGTTGTAATTCCAGTACAAAGTTTAACCACTGATGTGCATCTCCTGTCAGCAGTGCATTTACATTTTGTACAGATACAATATTAATATTGTACTCGTAACCTTTCAGATTGTTGACTGGAAAAGTCCATGGATTTGGCAACTTGACTGGTACTGCATTCTTCTTGAGGATTTTCTTTTCCAACCACAACCACCACCTGACTGACTTCTGCCACAATTTCAATGAATGATATGTGGAACCATTAAAAGTTGGATCAACAAACGATAATATTTGTTAATTTTTTTAATCAATCTCCAATAAGCCTTTTTGCTGCATGATATCCATCACTTACCATTTTTGTCTCAATATAATATTAGTGCTTAACCAATATTTTTATCATTATTGGATAAATGCTTTATAAGAACAATTCTAATGTTCAGAAACAACATGATTAAAAGGCACTTTTAAAGGTGGAATGAATTATGGCAGGTCTGATGTGGGTATTATACAGTTCCCATTACGTATATATCATGATCAGCATTTCCTGGTGATCATTACTCTTGGCACTGGAATCACTTTTCCTATTGTTTCATTGGTTTATCTACCAAATATAGATCTCTGATGTATATATATATATATATATATATACAAGCATGAATCTGCTCTTGAATTAAATCCACATTGGACCTTCTGATAACCATTCACACAAGCATGAATCTGCTCTTGAATAAAATCCACACTAGACCTTATATATATATATATATATATATATATATGTTTGTGTGTAAAACTCAAATTTCAACCTTATTATAATATTCAATTTTTAGAGGTATTTTTTGTAGTGTTAGATGGATGTATCTCTGGTTAGTATTGTACTGAATATTTTTTGGGATATTGAAGGACATATTCAATACTGTAAGAATATGAAGAACAGTCATTTGATAATTCAAAAGTGTTATTCAAAACAGAATAAAACAGATGGTTGCAAATCAGGTATTTTTCATTTACTTACTTGCACTTAGCCTACCTAAAGAAATTGTAATATAAACACACATATATACAATGTTTATTTCCATGTAAACCACAAATACTAAATCAAAAACATATAAGTTTTCAACATTATTTGAATAATCCTAAATACATCTCTATTGATTTTTAAATTACATACATTAGATACAAACCCACAGTTACTTAACGATTACTTTTACTTACACATTCCCACACACCAAAAAAATGATTAAATTATCAGTACTAATAACAATTTTATGTATTAAACGATTACAAATTTATCAAGATTATATTTTATTTATTTATTCCAATATATCCCAAAATTTTAAAGGACTAGTATTATCTATGTATTCCCGTTTGTCCTATGATTGTTCATTTCTTATCATTTTGATTGTTTGTTTCCAAATATGATATGATTTTAAAGTTATAAACATTACATAGGTATTCATTTATATTCAACAGTTACTAAATTATTATGTTATTTTACTATGAAACCAATGCATGGTTCCTGAAATAGCAAGATCACACACACACCTTCCTGTTCATATTACATAATTATAAAGTTATTACTGATAATTGAATATTGGCATATTTAGTGGTTATTAAATTGTCAGGATTCTTTAAGTGTCTCTTAAAAAGTAAACTTTAAGAGTTTGTAAGGTTCTCTCAAAGGATGTAGTTAGAAAATATAAATTAAATGTGATATAACGAATCAACAACAATGACTTTACTAACTCAATTCTCGTGGATGCATAATGACCACTGTCAACCAGTTCCTGAGCCGTACTTGTAATTTCATCAATCCTGCTTCTGTTTGCATTTAGTTCCTGTTCAAAATTCTGATGTTTTTGGAGTTTTCCATTCAGATTCACTGGATCCTGAAATATTAATGAATAAATTACACTTCATACTTTACAAAGACTACAAAAACTTTATTCTGTGGTGTAGAAACTTGATATTATCACAAGATCTTCTTTTTGTTATCTTGAGAAATAAAAAGAAATAACTGATATCAAAGTTCAAAGTTAAGACAAATATTGAATAATCATTTTATTTCAGTTTTTTTAAATTTACCAGCATTACTAAAATGGAATACATCCCGACTATTCACACAAATTTTCAACTTACAAAAATATTTTATGACTCGTATCATGTTGAAAATGAAGTAGTTTCTAGAAATTTTATGTTAAACACATTAAACAGAAGAAATCTAGATAACAGAATTATCTCGAGTCGATGATGCAACTTTCTTACTATATGGAAAACACTGCCCTTACTGTTTATACGCTAAACACATTAAATAGAAGAAATCTTGACCCAGGCTGCACACAAAACATCAAGTAGCTCTCCACGAGACGCTGGTTTTCTGGAACTTTTTTTCACTGCTCGAGCAAGTATGGCCGAGACATGCTCGATGGGGTTCATATCAGGCGACTGACTTGGCCATGGAAGCCGTTGGATGCCTTTCTTAATTAAATGACTATTGAACAAACATCATGATGTCTATTTACTTTTATAATGTCTCTGCAGTATTAGCATTGGTATGGAAATTTGGCCATAAAATTAAATATATTTTTTTCAATTATATATTTGCCTGGTCTTCAACACCTTATTAGATAAATATATTTGTAAGGTTTCACCTACAATAAGCTTCTTTCTCATATACGGTATTGCAAATAATTATGATCGAAGTTCATGGGTGATACACATATAGGAGATACAAACAATGAGTAATTACAATTAAATGGTCAATTTTTAATTAGTAGAGCTACAACATCACTGGTCGAGATTCAGCTAACTACTGTTTTGGTTTCCCAGCATGCTAAAGTGTAGATGTTGAAGGCAATTTTTTTTAATAATGTTCTTTCTGCCATCAAATAATCTGGT